TCAATTTGTCCAGCTACAACACTAAAAATTTGCTCAGCCTTAGCGGGACACACTTCTTTGCCTTGTGTTTCTATCCACTGCTGTTATCTTTAAGCCAGAGGTTCGATGTTTGAGGTTATTTATTGATTATTTAGTTAGCAAGTATATATTTTTACCTAATAACCAGCATATATAGCATTCTCCTCCATCACATGACTGTATATGGGGCTGTTGTTATCTCCAGCTTGATTTGTTTTTATATCAGAATCAGCTTTTAATGTTCCTTTGAATCCTGTATCTACCAATTGATCATCTTGATTGGATGCAGTAGGTATTGGTGGATCCTCAAATCCAGCGTACTCAGTGTTTTCTACCATCACATGACTGACCCCAAGCCCGGTGTTGTCATCTCTCACTCTTCCAATGCCTTGATCTGCTCTAACCCTTGTTGATTTAGTTTTCTGTGGTGCTATTTTTTCTCCCATTTTTATTATTTCATTGTGTCTGGATATGTTACTCATTGATTCAGTTTGTTCAGGCAATCCCTCATAAATGTTGTTTTCAACTATGCCCATATCTGCTAAATTATCAGCCTGCTTAGCTGACTGTAATTTTGAATCCTCTTTTTTCCATTCTCCTGTCTGCATTTCTTGATCTTCAATTGATTTCTCTCTACCAGATGTTCTTTTTTTAATAATGCAACAAATTATCACTATTAGAAGAACAGCACATCCAATAACTGACCCCCCTATGATATAATATAATAGATTGTCTTTAGATGTGGGAGATTCTTTACTGGGAAATTCTTTACTGGAAGTTTCTTTAGTCGTAAGATCTGTTAGTATAGCTGAATATTTGACAGTTGGCATGGTAACATCTGAGACTGATGATGGCATATTTGATTGTAGCCAAAGCTTGCTAGTTCTGGTCAAAATCTCTTGTGGCATTGTAGTGTGTGCTGTGGTTCCTGAAGAAGTTTTTCTTTTTGTTGTCAGAGAAACCGTTGTCTTGCCGTCTGTTGTTGGAATCAGTGTAGCTGGAAATGTGATGGTTGACATGGTTGTACCCGACACTAATGACGATGTGGGCTTGCTGGCTGTGGTCAAAAATTCCTGTGGCATTGTCTCCTTCCTAGTATATGTCATGGTCTCAAGTGAAGTAGTTTTTCCTTTTGTTGTCAGGGGAAAAGTTGTCTGGTATTTTGTTGTTGGAATCAGTGTTGATGGCTGAGAAGATGTTGACTGCACAGTACATTCTGCAACTTCATTAAACCATTTGACTCGACATTGGTAGGTTGCCTCTAGATCCTGTTGTTGAAGGTTTAATGTGTGGTATAAGTATGTCAATGCAAATCGCATGTTGTTCTGAAACTGTACGCTTCTAATTGCAATCATGATATCATCTCTCCACCATTCAATGGTGATTCTTGGATTACCTGACTCAGTGTAACATGACAGTGTAACATTTTGCCCAATGGAATCATTTTGGTAACCACTAGCAACACAAATTGGATATTGTGATGGCGGTGGATAATAAACATTTAGAAAACTGTAACCTCTTGATTCAAATAATGTAACACCAGTGGTTTCGTCGATCACTTTACATCGATATCCATTCCCATGAATCCATTTTCCGACATCAAGCCCTTTTGTGATTGTTATTGTCAGTTCATATTCCGTTGAGTTGTTAAGTGAGTATGCTAGTGCTTCAAGGCCAAGTTCAGAGGTTAGTAGCATTCCATTTCTATAGATCTCTGCTTCATCTCTATTTACTGTCCTTCTATACCAGATGATGTAATGTTGCTCTGAAAAGATGGTATCAGTACATTTAAGGTCAATGATGTCACCTTCAGATGCACTTATAGTGACCTGTACATCTCCAGTCAAAACTGTTCTTCTGGATTCACATTGAGTAGTTAAAAGTAGATTGTATGTGATCAAAAACAGCAACCTCAACTTAGCAAGTTTATCCCTCATCATGATTGCATTAATATTTGTAACTGATTAGCTTTTTATGTGTTGAGCACTTTTATACCAGAAATTAGCTTCCTTGTAAGGATTATACCATTACCAATATCATAGAAAATTGAAATAAACTCAACTAAGAAAGGATTGATTTTGCAAGTAATGTATCAACATAATTTTCTATAATATAGTAAAAATAACAATTCTTTAATTTGTAATATCAGTATTTAATTTAGTTACATAGTATTTAACCATGAAGGAGCTGAGTACCAAAGCTAAAATTTGGTTTATAGGTAGATCTATATATCTGATTAACTGGGGTAAATTTAAGAAAAGATTTTAAATGTCCACATGATGATCCGTTGTTGAGAAACATAGGCGTTTTTCACTTTTATAGATCTGGTCCCAACTTTGAATATATACCATTCAATTTTAATTGAGTTGATCAGCCTGCGCTTGCATGTGGCTAGAGACAACTACACTTAGATAATATATCTGTAATATGAGGGGTATATACCCACTCAAATGGACGCAGGGTGACCTCGAAAATCACAAAAAAATTTGCATCGTTAAACAAAGCTGCTATTTTGAGTGCAAATAACTTCAAAGGGAAGGGATAACTGTTAATCTAAGGCCATATTTGTGAAATATGGCAAAAATAAGTTAGAATACCAAGTTTGACTCTGATAGCTATTACCAATCTTGAGTTATAAGCTTCCAAAGTTGAAGTAAATTGCACATGCACATCTTGAAGAACCACGCCCCTTTTTCTTGATATATTGTTAGCAATGAATATTGCTTACAGTACGCTCCACTGAGCCGCTTTATGTTGTTTTGTTTATTCAGGGCAAGGTGTTGGCTTCAATTCAGATTATTTTTTTGTATGGTATTTCACAAAAGAATTTTCTCTTATTAATAGAATTTGTACAGTTCTTTTGTTAATGTAATAAATGTACTATTAGTAAATTTATTTAAGAGTGAACTCATAACAATTTTTTTAAACTAAAGATTTTCCCAAAGAAAAATATATTTATAAATAATGCACTGTATTCAAGTTTAAACTAAGTTGTTGACCTAAATTCAAACCGTATATTTACAATTTTCCTGTTCCTACAACCACATTCTGTTTCTTTGAAGGAAATTGACAGTGTTTACAAATTTCACAAATTCACAAATTAGGACAATGTCTATTAATAAACTTTAATGACAGTCATATATAGTTTCTCGAAGGTCTGCTTCATATTTTTTTAATTTTTCACTATTTTATTGGGACCCCAATGGAAACTAATCCTTTTTTTAGTATTAATTGGGTAACCCCAAATTTATCCATGTTTTTTCCCCTTAATTTATTGGTATGCTTTTTGTTCTTACTGTACCTTAGTAATTTCTCTGTTTTGTTACGTGTGTGTGTATATAGATTCAAAATAAAAACAATGAATTTTTATAAAAGTATGGTTTCTTAGAAAATTTAATTGTCTGCTTTTAGACAATTAAATTATATTTTTTTAAACTGAATATGTGTAGATGTAGTTCATTTATATTCAATTTAAAAAATATAGATTTTTGGGTGGCAGCAACTTTTTATCTGAAATTTAAATGTCTCAATGTTTAAATGTTTAGTTTTATTCATAATCATTATTAATGGGCAGAAGATTGGTGAAACAGTGTATTAAAGAGGTTTCTGCTGAAATGAACTACAGTCCGACTGTCATCTTCAAATATACAGTAAAACTTTAAAATGAAGCCCTGGGCTTCTGTTTCTTTGCGAATTGTGGATGGGCTTCTATTCGAGGCTACTATTAAGTAAAGAGGGGGCTTCTTTTCAAAACAAATTCTGTAAATTTTTTTGGATTACCATAAAACAATAAATAGGTCCACTGTAACATCAATCTGTATTATGGAATGTATTAACTGGCATTAAATCACATAATCTACTGTATAAACCAAGCATGTTTTAATTTATGTTGTTGCTTTGAAGTTAATGTACAGTGTATGTACTGTACTTAAAAAGCCCATGCTATCTTGAAGAGAAGGGCATGGTCTTCAATTTGAGATGGGCTTCTTTTCAAGGCTACTTTTGCAAACTAAAGAGGGGCACTTAGATTCGAAATGGCCTTCTCGAGATTAAGCCCATTTCTTCTATTCCTTCTTCTAGGGTACATTCACACACGTGGCGTAAGGCTGGCGTAAACCTAGCGTAGTGTACGCCTTTGTGTGTGAAGCAGTGGCATTATTTACGCCACTCACAACGCCACCTCCGTGGCGTTATCAACGCTACCTGCAGACCCCAGCTAACACCACATGCTTGAAGGATTTGACCTCATTTCAAGAGATTGACCAATCACGATTGCAATAGATTAGTTATTTTGATCTCTTTCCTGTGCTCTCTATAAATAAAATGGTAAAGGGGTTCTTTTTCTATTGCATTTTACTTAGTTTACAATGTATATGATTTGTTGATTGTGTTTTGTAAGATATTTTAACCTATTTAGACTGTCTATTTTAAAAAACCTAAAACACCGACAATTGTTCCACAATGCTAGCTGAAAAATCAGAAGTAAAATTGTTCATTTTAAATACAATAATCATGTAAGTTCACTACGAACAATTCACAGATTTAAAAGTTTTAATGATGCACTGTGAATATTTTACTACAGTTAAGAACCCATACATTATTTAAAACTGAAAACTTTCCCCCCATAGGCCTATACTACTAGTTTAACGCCAGCGTTGATATAGCAAATGCCGTTTGTGTGAACACTTTGGAATTTTAATCCGTGGATTAGCTTATGCCGGCGTAACCAACGCCAGTCTTATGCCATATGTGTGAACATACCCTAAGGTTTTACGATATTATCTTAGATTTTTAAAAAAACCAATCAGACAATCTGAGAGACAAGATTCTGTCTGTCAGTGGAAGTAGAGGCCTTGTTGGCATGAATGCAATATGAATCTAACATATTATTAATTATCATATTATTTCTTTTAATTAATACAGTGTACATTGTGATGGTAGCATGATACCTTATTGATTTTGAATTTCTAATTCATAGTATCTTGTAAATGTAGCCGGCACCAGACCAACCCCCTCCTCAACATCACAGATGTTAGAGTCAACATCCCAAGGAGACAACTTCAAGAATTTTAAAGATGTTTTTAAGCTACGAAATTCTGAATGTCCTCTTCAAGGTGAGTTTAGTTTGTAAGTTGTTAAATATATTTCTTTAATGCCCAACAGCAACTGTATTTCACATTTTAAAAAAAGTTCTTGTTAAGTTCTGAGAGCTGAGCATCCTATAACTGTCAATTGAGAATTTTTGTTTTCTTATTCATATTTTCAACTGTAAGTTAATAACTTACAAATATTACAAATTATGTACAGTAATTCATATGTGGACATTTTTTTTTCTTCCTTTTTTTCAGTTTTTTAGCTCATGACTTTATTAATATATATTATGGTGTGACCAGTCAAGGTAGACAAGGTATGGGTTATGCGATAGCTGTGCTAAAACCCATCTTTTAGCTGACTTTGTCTTTTTATTATGTTTTTTTAAGGCTGGGAGGATGGAAAGAGAGCTACATTGATTCAAAAAGAGAAGGCTATTGCTGCAGCATTTCGAGGTGGCAAACTCTACCTTACTAAAAGGTAAGAATGATGAGATGCTTGATATGGGTGACTTGTATGTTAAGGTGGTAAGCAAAGTATAATGGACCTTTCCGCTAAGAACCAACCAATGGATATTGTTGCTAAGGTCTCACAAAAGCTTGTGCGTTTGTTGGACACATGTTTGTTTGTGTGACAAGCGCAGATTTTTAGCGATGTTCTGATTAGTCAGTTAAGTTTATTGATAAAAGAGTTCTCAGAAAATGGTACTCACCTAAACAAGCACAAACTCGTACAATCTAACTCATATCCTGTGTTAAGAATTTTGTTTTCTTTTAACTGAAATGAATAAAATATAATAATTATAAACAATAATGCTTTTAACAATCAAAGAAAATGGGAAATTCCAGTACTTAATATTGGGAAATGAACACACCATTACTAAATCTATATATCTCAACAAAATTGATTCAAAATTTATTAAAGGTATTCTGAATAAATACTGTATATCATATCGCAAGTCATAATACAAAAGTACAAGAATGTTTTTATATCTTTACTATAACTTTTAATAACTTCCTGAAGTCTAATAGCCATAGATAAGATAACTAAAGGATGTGTTAAGTAAAGTTCACTGTACCATATATCTCTGAATTACCCTTGTAGGAGTGGAGTTGAATAGCTTGGTGGTTAAGTTGCTTGCCTACCAATCCCAATTCCTGTCACTGTTTCAGGAATTATCTCTGAACCAAAATAACTCTATTCCCCACACCTCATAACGAGATTTAGTTTGTGTAAAGCGTCATGCTGTATGTTTGTCTTGTGAAAGGGATTTTCACTTACAAGTAGGACAGTGATATATTCCTATCAGCAATCCGTGGTGTCTGTGTGTCTGTGTGCACCTAAATAAAAATGAAAAATAGTTGTCTTGTGTAAGGCTAGGTAACAAACTAGGACAGTGATATACTGTATTCACTGTTGGCAATCCTTGGTGCATGTGTGTGCGCGTGTGTGTGCACCCAGGGAGTTCTTATAGAGTATCACAGTCATGTCCGCCAGGTGGCGCCCTCAGACATTGGTTACCGTTCATTACGCCTGAATGACTTCATAGACTTTCTGAAATAGGCATTTTCAAATCTAATATTTTACCATCAAGATGTACTAAAAACACAAAAGCTTGCATTATATTAGATATAACATCTTAATAATTACGCTGGAAATTGGGATCAGTGGTTTGTCAGTGGTGACTACGTGCACGTTAACTCACAGAGAGCTAGTGATGTTACACATCAGCAGTACACAGTAGTACTTATACAATAAATAACTTCTGTTTGTGTTAGAAGAACTTGTTTGGAATGGTATTTTGATAGACATTTGTAAAAAAATAAACATTTCTTAAAGCATTTGAAAAAGTCAATTTTTGGTCGATGCAGTCAGGTAAAAATAACTCCTTAGGCTGGGCTACGACCTAGGTAGTTGTAGGTAGAGGCGGCATCCCTGTCTGGCCGTAGGCCTACATCTAATTCTAATTTCGTTCCTCAAGTCCTTAAAATAGATCTAGAATATTCCTATTGAACGTTCAGTTTGTTTAGTTCATGAAGGTCCATTGATTCAAAGAATTCCTTAGTTGTTCATATAATACAGAATTTGAAGGAACTTTCTTCTAATTAAATAACCTTGTTTTACAAAAGTAATTTTCAATTACAATTCTTCATCGCAGTGTGCGATATCTTCTCGCGGTGACGAAAAAAATGAGGTTTTTTATTTTGGCACACGAACCTAAAAAAAAATCAAGCCAAGCGTCTACTATTGGAAAAATTATTGGTTGCAGTGATGACGTCATGATTGACTTAATAAGAAATAAATTTTATTAGACTTTTTGTATTATACTTTCAGCTACCTTTGCTTCTGGCGCTCCAGAGTCTTCTCCCAAAAAAATATAACAATTCCTCTATGTGATGTCACCAAATTGGAAAAGGTATTTATCGCTTTTATTTCATTCATTCACTCATTCTTTATGTAGCCAATAATATAAAACAAGTGAATACAAATCACAATTACATTTGAAGGAAATAAAAAATATACATGAGACAATAAATTACCCAAGTTGGCTAGGATTAACTAGAGTGTGAAAAACATTCTGGCTCTTAGGCCTGTAATTGTCCAGTCTTCGGAATTTTGTAAACATATACAAAAAATAATTAAATTAAACAACAATATAAATAAAATCTCTCATTAAAAAGCAAAGAATAACAAATAAAGTAACAATAATGATGATATAAAAATATACAATTACAAAATTAAATAAATCCATACTTTCATTTTAAAAATCAAGGCAGATTGAGAGATATATAATTATAATAATTCAATGTTAAACAATTACTATTATAGAAAAATCTTATCTGAGTTTAATCAGTGGACTTTTCGGTAACTAAACAAGTAAAATAAGTAAAATAAGGTCAAGCATATCCATGCCAGCTATAAATGTAAAATTAAAACTGTATGCCTATGCCAATAATAATTTTTATTTATTTATTTATTTAATTCAGCTGGAAAAAGAGTAATTTAACGAGAAAAAAAAAAGAAAAACAAAAGAATATTTTGGCTCACTATTCACAAGATTAACAATTAGATATAACAATCAATATCTATACGCACTACCTCATTAAAAGGTCCATTTTCAGGGTAAATAATAAAACTCAATCAACATACCAAATACAGTAGAACTCCTCCTTTGGGACACCCCTATCAAAAGTGGTGCCGCTAGCGGGGTTTCCACCGGACAAGTCAAGACCCCCCTCCCGTCGAACGGAGCTCATGGGGCAGTGAGACCATAAAAAATTAAAAAATAGACCCACACCCAGACAACACATGTCTGTCACAGTCTGAAAGTGCCATTTCCGACCATCCAGATGTTCCCATTCTTAAAAGACTCTCATTTTGGGCAGCTTAGCGCTATTAAATTGACACTTTCTTTGTCCTGAAGGTGTCACATTAATAGGGATATTACTGTATTCAATTTTCAAATACAGATAACCACATATGAAGTCATAAAAGAATGAATAATCATATGCTTCATCTGTTGCAGTTTAATTAGCTTTGTCATTTTATTGGTGAGAAAAATCTACACATTGGGTAACAAAAAGCCTTCATATGAGATTCTTTTGAAAACTGTTTATGCTTATTTCCTTGATTTAAAATTTAGATGAAGCCTTTCAGCTTTCTCCCTGGGTCAGGGATGTCGATTGAGATTCATGTTTCTTCGGTTGAAAAGCCATACGTATTTGGTGCCATCATAAACCGAGATGAGGTGTTTAATCAGATTTTACAAGTGGCACAAGCGGCGCAGTTAGCGTGGGCCAAAGAGGGCGGATCTGAGGAGGAGCATGCTCCAAGTGATGATGATGCGGATATTAGTGATTAAGGTTAGAAGAGATGTTAGCAGTTGTATATTAGATAAATTGTCAGTTACTGATGAAGTGGAGATGAATATTTTGCAATATTTATAAGTTAATTAAGTTAATAAAATAATACGTAAAATTATCAGGATGTAAAGCCCAAGACTGATAAAAATCAAATATAATCTCTACCACTAAGGATCACTTACCACAGCTGTATAATGGTGCCATAATTAGCCTAGATAAGGAACCGAGAAGGAGCAAAGTGGGAGAATATTGCTTTTATTTTTGTTGTTTATGTTATTTGTCAATTCATTGCAACCATAATAATTAGTGAATGAATCTGATTGCGGTTAATTATGGCAGAATGCAAATGATGATAAGAAGACTGAGCGGGATTGCTCAGACAACAAGAGCACCCGTCCTGATACTCCATTGATCATTATTATCACCACCAATACCACCACCACCAATATGATAAAATGTTTGCAAAAAATTTGTGAACATCAAATTCAATAAATATTGAAATTATATAGAGACTATAAATTCTGTTTCTCTACTTTCTAATTTATTTACATATCTTTTATTACACAAACCCCCATATTTTCCAACTTTATTATACACTGTTTTAAACTCAATATCTTTCTTAATTATTAGTTAGTTGTGAACAATTAATTAATATTTTGCCCAATGAAATATTTTTACTTAAAATGTATAAAGTAGTTGTTGTAAGATGAAGATTTGTGAATACTTGAATGCAAATATATAAGCAGTGATTTTTGTATAAAAAATATTTTTTAAAAGTGCATTAATAGTTAATTGAAAGTAGATTTTATTTAGCATGAAATGGTGAATTTTTTAAATCAACCCTGAACTTGTTTCACAAATATATAGTTAGCTATTTAGTAGTTTTCATTAACCAGATCTATATTTGATATTTATAAATGTGATTATAAAATAATGTAATCTATATTGGTGAACATTTATCTGATAGCTTACTAGTATTTGTGCTAAGAAAATCAAATTTCATTTCAATACATGTTGTATAACATGTTAAACATATTTACATACTGATAGTTGTAGAATCATATACTTAATAAATATTACCTAGTAATTTATTATTATCTTTCCCTCAGTTTTTTTTTTGCTGTCTTGTTTGCCAATGCATCCTTTTCATATAGATCTACATATATTTCATTAGGCACACAGTATAAAGCCATAAAACCAACGAACAGCGATATCCGCAGTAACCAGAGATGTAGTAATCAAAAATTGAAATGATGTAAGAACATTTCTCTTATTAACTGGTGCAGCTTGATTACACAGTATACTTGTTACTAAAAATAGAATCATGTATATGAGCTTTGGAAATTAATGCATCTAACTGAATATTTTAATGATATATTATTCAAATAACATGCGATATAACAAATTTTAAACAAACTGAATTGGAGCTTGATTTACAAAGTCAAGAACAATTAGGAAAACAATATATTAGCAAAACACAAAGAAAAAGCAATCCGACACAACATCATATGTGGCATATAGTATAAACAAGTTACAATAAATACAAGGTGAAAATGTCAGCATCAAAACATAAAGAACATTGAGAAAAATGTAATAAACCAACCATCAAACATTATCAATTGAAAACTTTATAAAATGTAAAAGCAATTTTAACAAGCATCTTTGCTTTAGTGTTGTATGATTTACAAAATAAACAATGCTCAGTAGTATCATAGAATATACCGTAAAACCTTTAATTGAAGCCCATCTCGAATTAAAGCCCCCTCTTTAGTTTTCAAAATTAGCTTCTTTTCAAGATAGTACAGTAGATACACTGTGCATGAATTTCAGAAAACAAAATAAATTAAAAACAAGGCTTGGTAGGTGATTTATGCCAGTTAAATACACTCCATAATACAGATTGACATTACAATGAACTTATTTATTGTTTAATTTTCAAAATTTACAGCATTCATTTTGAAAAGAAGCCCCCCTCTTTTTGCAAAAGTAGTCTCGAAAAGAAGCCCATCCAAAGTTCGCAAAAAGAAGGCGGGCTGGGCTTCAATTCAAGGTTTACGGTAGGATTTTTGTATATGTACTATTTCGAATGAAAATAATACAGTTTTGTAATCATTTGATACTTAACCTGAATGTACTGTTCAGTTAAGCCACCCTGCTCTTTCAGTGTTGTTGCTAAGGTCCTACAAAACAACTGCGTAAACATACATGAACACGTGTGTGTTTGTGGTATGTGTGATTGTCAGCAGCATTTCACCATCGTTTTAGATAATTGCGTTAATGTAAGCCTATTGTTTTGGTTCATTAGTCACTTGTTTATTGTTCTATTTAGTTTTTTTTAGTGTCTTAGGAGTGACATTAACATATCCTTGCTCATTGTTGCTTTTTGAAGATCTGTTTGGTGTTCCATTTAAGTTGTCCTTTTGTGTGCCAGGTTGCAATGCGACTATCTGATAAGGAACAACTTTTGCCACCTTTCGGCTATTGCTGTCAGCACTCTTGTCAGTAACTCTATTCTTAGCAGGTTTTACATTGATGTAAAGATGTTCTTCAATGTTCAATCCTTCATTGTTTTCGTCAGGGTTAATATTATTATAAACATGTTCTGCAATCAATTTATTGTCTGTAGTACCAGTAGGTTGGTTATAAATTTCAGATTCCTCATGAAACTACTCAATAATTTCTTCACGGTAATTTTCATTTAGAATTGTCATTCCTTGGTTGTCATTGTTGGCTAACCTCTGTGTGACCGACATTCTCTTATATAACAAAAGGCATAGGATTATCAGTAAGAGTAAAGTGCCACTAACAGTCAATGCAATGACTAAAGAGTTTGATTTCTCAGAAGTTCTGGGATCTCCAGCTGTTAGATATTCTGCCGTTGAACTCAATGTAGTTTTGCTTGGTGTTGTTAAAGCTTCCAGTGTGTCATCTTCTCTTGCGGTAGTCATTTTCTTAGCTGTTGTCTGCAAAGTTGTTGTTGATGGCCTATTTGTTGCAGTTGTCACATGTTCTTTTGTCGGAATCAGTGTTGATGGCTGAGAATATGTTGGATGTACATTGCATCCTTTAACTTCATTAAACCCTTTGACCCTACAATGGTATGTTGCCTTCAGATCCTGTTCTTGAAGATTGAATGTGTGGTTTAAATAGATCAATGCAAATCGAATGCTGCTCTGAAACTGTATTGCTCTACTTTCCACCATGGCATTATCTCTCCACCATTCAATAGTGATGTTTGGATTACCTAGCTCAGAATAACATGATAGTATAACATTTTGCCCAATTGAATCATTCTGATAACCGCTAGTGACACAAAGAGGATATTTTGCTGGTGGTGGATATTGAACATTTATAAAACTGTAACTTGATTCAAATAATAAATTACCAATAGTTTTCATCACTTTACATCGATATCCATTCCCATGAAGCCATTGTCCAAGATCAAGTCCTCTTGTGATAGATATTGTCAGTTCAAATTCAGTGGAGTTGTTAAGTGAGTATGCTAATGCTTCTTGACCAAGGTCATAGGTCAGTAGCATTCCATTTCTGTAGATCTTTGTTTCATTTCCATCCAATGTCCTATACCAGATGATGTAATGTTCCTCTGTAAAGATGGTATCAGTACATTTGAGGTCGATGATGCCACCTTCAGATGCACTTATAGTTCCAGACAAATCTCCATCTAAAACTGATCTGCTGGATTCAACATGAGTAGTTAAAAGTAGGTTGCATGTGAGTACAACCATCAACCTCAAGTCAGCAAGTTTATTTCTCATGATGATTGCATTTGTAACTGATCAGTTTAACATTAGCTTAGATTTTAGTAGCAGAAATGAACTTCCGCATAAGGATTATACCATTAAAATTTTAAAAATGAATGGGTTGATCTGTTTGAATATGATAGCATGGTTGAAGAAATTTCAAACAGCTAACTGATCTTTTATTATCATCACAAAGGAAAACCTCTAGAAAAAGCAGGCCACATAATGTAATAAATATTATAGTAGAACAGTTGAAAATAAAAATACATGAGAATCAACCTAGTGCAATAAGAAAAGCAAGTAGACATGGAGATTTATTGGCTGCAATTTTATTTGGCCAAAAAAAAGGATAAAAAATTTAAACTGTTTAGATTTTTGTTGTTTACGTGAGGGACAGCATACTAGCTTTTACTGGAATCTGTCTATTGGATCTCAAAAAATCTTGTATATATTGAAGCATGTGGGGAAACAAACAGATTCCTTATATAAATATATATATATATATATATATATATATATTGGTAGGCCAATTCATGCAATTTTCTGCACTTTATTCAATGACACTTTAAACTGCTCATGTTTTTGACCAAGGAATGAAAGTCAATTCGGTAGCATTTTTTTTTTTAAAATTGTATTGACATTTTAATCACATGTTGCTGTTATTTCATTGTAAAAAGGTCCCAAAAATTATGATCACGACCCACTCAGAAAAAATCCTGGATACACCCCTGCGGAATGAAGCTGTTAAAATTCTTCGAGAAAGATGTTGGCAATGACTGGGGATAAAGGAGATCCCATGACCGTGCCTTCTGTTTGTTAGTGCTTCTTGACCGAGGTCTGAGGTCAGTAGAATTCCATTTCTGTAGATCTCTGTTTCATCTCCATGAAATGCTCTTCTAGACCAGATAATGTAATGTTCCTCTGTAAAGATGGTACTCTATTAGTACATTTGAGGTCAGTGTTGAGACTTTCAATTGTAGTAATAGTTACGCTGAATCTCCAGTTAAAATTGTTCTGCTGGGTTCACATGAGTAGGTTGTAGGATTATACCGTTACAATTTTTGAAATGAATGGGTTGATATGTTTGCATATGAATGCATGGTTGAAGAAATTTCAAACAGCTACTCAGATTTTTTATTATCAGCACAAAGAAAAATGTTTAGGAACAGCAGGCAAAAATGCAATGAATACATTGTAGAATAATCTGACAATGAAAATATATGAGTCAACCTCATGACTCAACCTAGTGCAAAAAGAAAAGCAAATACACACATGAAGATTACTTAGCTAGCAATTAGTTGACCAATACTGGGTATTGGATGTAAAATTAACAATAAACTGTCTATTGTATCTCAAAGGATAATTTTCTAAATATTTAGAGGCACATAGGAAACACCCAGATTTCTTCTATAAATACAGTACAGTATGTAAATATTGTTTTTAAAACATGTACTTGTAATGATTGTAAACCTGCGTAAGTATGATTGGTTGTAATTTTAGGACTGCATGTGTAAATTTTAAGCTTTCCTCTATTTTGGGGGATCTTTTTACTTTCAACGAGGCAAAATATTAAAACAAAATTAAGAAGAAATCTAATTATTCTCAAAAAAATATATTCTGTTGGTGTCTAGGCATTTGTCAAGAAGGCCCATAATGTACCACATCAGCTTTACATCTGTTTTGTATTTTAGTAGCAGAAAGTAGCATCCTCAGAAGAATTACCAATTGTTGAATTTAGAAGGGGTTGATATTTTACAGTTACATATTTTAAAAAACGTACATAGGAATACACTAATAAGGTAAACCACACTATCAAATGAATAATCATTTTAATACTTGGATATTCAAGTATTTTAAGTACTTTTTATTCATCAGATTCACATTTAATCTGAATTACATTGATGCTTACTAAATAAAAAGTACAATTAAAGATAAAATACAAAGAACATTCAAGTATTTCATGTATTTTTTATTCATAAAATTCCAAGGTAAAGCTGAATTATTACCTTGATGATTACAAATAGTTAAAAAATACAATTAAAGTTAAGATGCAAAGAATGATCAAGAAACGATTTAAAACATACAATAAAAGGTGCACACTAAATATGAATGAAAACAGTAATCAATTAGACAGCAATCAAATTAATTCAATAAAATGTATGAATAAAATGAAGGACTGTTAGGTAATTATTTGCAGTAATTATTTGGCAATATTGTTGCTAAGGTCTTACAACTGTGTGAACATACATACATGTGTTGTGTTTGTGAAACATGACCATACTCCTGCCCTCATTCTGATTGATCAGTGTAACTGAAGTCATTTTTATTGAGAAAATCCTTACCAATATCAGTTTATTTTGGTCCATTGTTCTATTTTGATTTTTTAGCTTCTTAGGAGTGACATTAACATATTTTTGCTTATTGTTGCATTTTGAAGATCTGTTTGGTGGTCTATTAGTTGAATTGTTAGGTTGTGTGGCAGATTGCAATGAGACTATCTCATAAGGAACAACTTCTACCACCTTCCGACACCTATAACTGT